CGTAGTTGGACGAGTCAAACCGCATGCCATGAGGATACGTCCGCATGAGAAACTGTCTGTTGTGCGAGAAGAGCGCCTTTGGCATGCGTCTCTGAATCGCAAAGGCTGCATTCTCTGAAAGCGAGAAGATATGATTCGGCATCGACGCTTCGGGCTCCTCGAGTGATTTGAAGCTAATCCCTCGAGTATGAATACCAAGACGGCTCAGGCGCGGTATGATCTTGGGTGGTTTGACCTTCTTGACCTTCTTCTCGTCTCCCTCCACAACAACCTCGAGCATGCTCTCATCATCCGTACTATCAGGCGTGTCCTTGCCCTTTCCCTTGCTGTCCTCCGGAACATACTTCACCTTGATGAGAATCTTGTTCCTCAACTCATGAGGAGATGGCAGGCAATCAGATTCAAACTCGGGTGCAGGGAGGAGATAGTCAGCCCAGACCTCCTCCATGATGTTGACCATTGCGCCTTGTTGCAGTGGAGAGCAGTGGACTTCCAGACTGACGATGAGTGGAAGATCAGACGTGGTGAACGCATACTCTTTGACGGTCTGGCAGACGTCGCGGAAAAGAACCTCTTTGGTAAGGGTGAAGCCATGAAGAACTCTTGGCTCGGCGTCAATAACATCCAAGAGTCTATCATCAATCGTTCTGCCGTCAGGATCAACGGGATCAAACTTATTCATGGCCCAGCGCCCAATCTTGATGATGGCTCGATCTGCAAAGCCCATTTTCCTTGGCGCCGCTTCCCGAGAAGTATCCTTCGCTTCTCTCTCGACGTCATCCTCTGAGCCGAATCCAGGCTTCCACTGTTCTTTACCATCCCAGACATCGATTTCGATACAGCGACATCCACGCAGCAAGGCGTCTTTGTACGCTTCAGTGCTCGAGTCGCTTGAGAGTTGGTTCCCTGTGAGGTAGGTGTTATGGCTTGAGCTGATGAAGTAGTTGTTCAATGGCCAGGTCAGGTCTTGGGGGGAAGCCATTTCGAGAATGTTGCCGCATGGTGATGTGAGATACATGATGAGTTCAGGTAGATTTAGCTCATCCTGATCGACAAGGTAACTGGCCAGGCCTTCTGGGTTTTCGACTTGAACGTGGTGCATGAAGAGACCAATCTGATTTCGATGCCAGGTTCCGTTGGGTCCGGCATACTTGTTGAATAATTGGGTGAAATGACTTAGGAAGGACTCTTCCAGATTCTCCTCGATGCCGTTGTGCTGGCCAGTTGGATGTCCGCCACCAGCCCTGTATCTGGCGAGCGGGAAGGTTTCCGTCACTGACTTAACAGACATGACGATATCATACACAAACGAAAGAAGATAAGTTTGAATAACTATGAAACACGGTTCATGATCTTAGACTTTATTTATATCAGCAGCCAAGACATAGCCTCATTCTTAATTTACGCCATGTAATCAATATTACGGGCTCACCGTTATAGATGCAGAAAAAAGACCGTGACATCTGTGGACCAATTTGCTGTCAAGCTCATGAGGCATTGCTCTTGGCAAGCGAATAATATGAAAATATGGTTCAAGCCGGCTGCTCGGCATTGGGTTTGCCTTGGCCCGCGCCTTGACCCTATACCAATGTGTGCTTTTTTACGGACCGACGAATCAGAGCGCGTGCTTTGACTCCATCTGTTACTCAGCACCAAGCTCAGTGGACTTGACAAGACGGCATATAATTTGCGCCTAGATATACTCTGCAGTCCGTTCATCATAGCTTGCAGTTATTGTTTTCCTAGTCAGGGTAACCAATCATCAGGCGATGCCATATCCCATTAGAGAACTACCTTTCGCGAACCTCAGCTTTCGTTAGAGGATTGTGGATCCACCCTATAGGGCTAGAGGCAGCCAATTCTCTAACCAGGCTTTGGAACGAGCAAAACACTTCTTGGTAGAATTGAAATTATAAAATTCAATAGTATTTATTGCATATGTAATCATTGATTCAATTATGGCGACTCCCGACTTGGTGACTTGCCATGAAGCGTGTGAGACATCGTAGCCAAGCCAATCATCAACGAGCCACGTATCAATTTTCGCATCGTTACCCATCTTCCAGGCTTCAACCACAGCTGCATCAACTCTACATCTCCATCATCCATCATGTCCGAGCCTTCAAAGAAAATTGTCTTCTATGACATCGCCGCCCGCCCGCCGGTGGAAAAGAACGTCTTCTCCCCAAATCCCTGGAAGAGCAGATTCGCCCTCAACTTCAAGCAAGTCCCCTACTCAACGTCATGGGTAGCCCTGCCAGACATCACCAAAGTGCGCACTGGCCTCAACGTCCCCGCCTGTCGCAAATTCAACGACGGCAAAGACTTTTACACGCTGCCCATCATTGAAGACCCCTCAACTGGGTCTGTAGTCGGCGACTCCTTCGACATCGCTATTTATCTACAAAAGACGTACCCAACCTCTGGTGGAGGCGATCTCTTCCCCACTCAGACGCTCGACTTTGACTTTGAGCATCCTTACATCCTCGTCCCCCTCTCCGAATGGCGCGACAAGGAGAACCCCGAGTACGCCAAGTTCAATCTCAACATCGACGCGGCGTTCACTGCACACGTGCAATTGGGTGTTCAGGGGATGCCGTTCGATCCAGCGTCTGAGGAGGAGAGCAAGGCTGAGTTTGTGCGACGTGCGGGGATGAAACAGTGGGACGACTTTGCGCTAGTGGGCGAGGCTCGGGATAAGGTGATGGAGTCTTTCAGAGAAATGCTCGGTAATCTTGCGAGATTGTTCACGAGGGATGTGAGTGGCCCGTTTTTGCTGGGTGACAAGGTCAGTTATGCGGATATGCTTGTTGGTGCGTGGCTGAGGATGCTGCATGCTACGCTGCCTGAGGATGAATGGGCTCAGATTGCGGGTTGGCATGATGGGACCTTTGGGAAGTTGCATGAGGCTCTGGATGCCTTTGCAGAGGTGAAATAGAGTCGATTCAGTCTGGGACTCAATGTATTTGCGCCATCGAGTGCAATTTCTCCCCTATGAATTCCGAGTAACCCAAAGCACTATGATCCAGACGAAAGATATTCCATAGCCACAGAATTGGTATCAAGGTGTATCAGTTTTTACAGAATGCACAGTCTATATACTTTTGACGTCGTATCCCTAAACAAATAAGAAATGTCTGACCTATGGAGAGAGCATCATTGCTTCGGCTTCTACCACTGCCTCCTTTAATACCCGACAAATAGTGGCCAATTGATCTTCAGTAACTGTAAATGGTGGTGCAAGCAGGATATGATCACCATGAACACCATCAATCGTAGCGCCTCCCGGATACAATGCAACGCCCTTCTCAAAGGCGATCTGCTGCACCAACAGACCAAACTTAGCCGAAGGATCAAAAGGCTGCTTGGATGTCACGTCTTTCACAAACTCAACGCCCCAGAAAAGACCTCGACCTCGAATATCAGCCACCGACTGGCAATGCTTTAGCTCACGTCGAAGTAGCCTCTCCAAAACAAGGCCCATCTGGCGACATCGCTCTACCAAGTTCTCGCGTCTCAGGACCTTCTGCACCGCCAATGCCGCAGCGCATGAGATAGGATGCGCTTGATATGTATGTCCGTGGTTAAAAGCAGCCGAGCCATGTCTGAGGACATCAACGACCTTTTTGTGAATAAGAACACCAGCAATGGCAGCATAACCACCACCAAGACCTTTCGCGATCGTGGTGATGTCCGGTACAACACCCTCCTGCTCAAAAGCGAAAAAAGTGCCTGTTCGACCAACGCCGCACATAATCTCATCAAGAATCATGATCACTCCGTACTTGTCGCAGATGGCTCTGACGCCCTTGAAGTACCCGGCCGGGGCAGCAACACAGCCTGTCGTCGCGCCAACGACTGTTTCCGCGATGAAAGCAGCGACGTTCTTGGGACCGACTCGTAGAAACTCTTCCTCGAGTTCGACCAGAAGTCTCGCTGTGAACTGCTCTTCGGTCTCGGAGTCGTCTTTGTAGTGATAAGCGAAAGCAGGTGAGACGTGAGAGACATGAGGATACAAGAAACCATGGTACGGAGCTCGGCGAGCTTTATTAGTCGAGATAGACATAGTGGCCATCGTATTCCCATGATAGCATTGCCGTCTAGAGACGATGTGCACTCTGTCTAGCTCGCCCTTCTCATAGTGGTACTGGCGAGCTAGCTTCAGAGCAGACTCAACAGCTTCACTGCCACTGCCAACAAAGAAGGCCTTTTCAAGACCATATGGATTGCCCTCCAGTATAACATTCGCAAGCTCTTCGGCTGGTGCCGTTGTGTAGGATTGTGTGTGGACGTAGCTGACTTTGCGAGCTTGGTCGGTAATGGCTTGGATGACCTCCTCGTTGCCGTGGCCGATGAGTGCAACAGCTGCGCCGGCACAACCGTCGATGATTGTTTGGCCGGTCGATAACTTGAGCTCGACTCCACTCGCGGACTCGACCATGTAAGGATGTTGGACGAGAGATCTGTGCATCAAACATCCTTCTTGATGCATTGGTTTGGCAGGCTTGGATGATTGGTAGGTGGAGACTTCAGCAAAGTCCTCAGTCTTTGAAGGCGCCATGTCGATTAATAGAGAATTGAAGCAGAATAAAACGTGTAATGCTGTAAATTAAGCGGATAGTCCTTTTTCTTGCTGAATTTGCTTCTTAATACTGTCAAAGAATTCCTCTGTCCATTTATAAAACGTCAAACCCGAAAACCGATCATCAGCGCCGGAACTCGGGAAAGACAGATTTTCAGCCGAGCACCGACGAGCCGACTGATTCCGGCCCGTCGCTGTATCATGAATTTCTCATGACAAACAGTATCATACGCTTTGACCCACTGAGATGGGTTGACAGGTTCAGGGCGTCGGTTCTCGTCGTCGGGTTCGCTCTTGTGAGAACCGAGGTCAGATGCCGGAACAGATATTTAACTAGAGAACTTTCTCGAACAACAACTTTACAGACATCTATCATATTGTTATTTCTTTGATTGCTGCTTGTGCACTGAGATCAAACATGTCAGCCCAGAAAGATAGCTCAGGTCCAGACTGGCCATGCTCATCGACCTCGTCGGATAACGAAAAAGACAATGATACCGACATCTCACAACCCGAAAGCGAATCCACTCCAACACCGCCGGCAGTCGAGTTTGATAACCCCAAAGGATGGATAGCTGTGGCAGCCGCAGCATGTTCTCTTTTCGTTTACCTCGGGGTGATCTACTCATGGGGCATTATGCAAGTCAGACTTGTCGAAGTGACAGGAACAAACCTCACAACCTTGACGTTCGTGGGATCGCTTGCAACATCCTTCATGATATCACTTAGTATCCTCTCTGGCATTGCCGTTCGAAAGCTTGGCTACCAGAAGACTGCTCTAGCTGGTGGTATCTTGATGGGTCTGGGTGAATTCCTAGCAAGTTGGACGACGAAGCATGTTGGAGCTCTCTTTGTCTTCCACGGAGTAATATTTGGTATTGGAGGGGGACTGTCCATATTTGTAAGTTCAACCTGAAAAGAAAGCTGACATCTTGCTAATATTTACAGGCATGCTCGACTGCTCCCCTGAGGTGGTTCAAGAGACACCGTGGCCTGGCCATGGGTATCGTGTTTGGAGGAGGTAGCCTTGGTGCAGCTGTCATGAGCATTGCGACGAACCTTCTCGTGAAGCGAGTCGATGTCGCTTGGACATTTCGCATTCTAGGCTTCATGCTCTGGGGAGTCTGTATCCCAGCTTCATACTTCATTCAACAGCCTGAGGGATCCATGAGTGCTGGCTTGAAGCTGCAATGGTGAGTGCATCCCGGGTCCCTAGTTCTCTCAATAGCCTGCTGACCATATGATTAGGCATCGCTTCCGGGAACCTCGGTTCCTCCTTATAATCGCCGGGACAGCTTTATCATGCTTTCCCTTATTTATTCCCCCATACTTCATTCCCATCTTCGCTCGATCCATGGGCTACTCCAATCAGATTGCGACTGTCATACTGGCAGCTTGGAACTTGGCTTCGACCGTTGGCCGGGTCCTCGGGGGCTATACCGCAGACCACTTGCTCGGCCCTTTGAACAGCTTGATTGTTTGTCTTTTGTTTATTGGTCTCAGCTCACTCGTCGTGTGGCCATTAGCATCTTCGGTTGGGATCTTCTCTATCTTCCTCGTCTTCAACGGCATTGGCTGTGGAGCGTTCTTCAGTCTGGTTCCTCCCATGCTCGGCGCTACAATGGGACCAGAGAATACACTTGGCATTTTGCCTATTGTTTGGACTACTTGGTTCTGCGGATTCTTCTTCGTATATTGCATATATATCTCCTACTCATACCCTTTACTAACCAGAATCTCAGGGCACACCTATTGCTTCGGGAATCTACTCGCTTGCCGGGGATAACAATGACAGTCTTTCGGTGTTCAGGCCTGCTGCTTATTATGCTGGCGGTATGTCGATTATGGGTCTTTTATTTATTGTCTATATTCGTTTCAGTCTACAGAGACGGATCCTGGCTTGCATATAGTTCTAAAATACTGTTATCTTGCGATCTACACAGTTATACACCACATGTCCTGGATAGGCCTCCTATTGTGACTAAAGTTTATAATAACCTCTTGATGAAATGGCTGCGCTGGTCCTTACACTGCATGCGGACCGTACAGTGGTTAGGAGGCATAACCCCTGTCAATGGCGCTAAAATATCCCATCTCCAATGTGTCTATCCTCAAGCTTCAATACTTCGAGTGCCGGAAACTTGGCCTCAGTACCGAAACTCAGCTTAATCATTAAATCGCGGTTTGGAGACCCTTCTCAGTGAAGGGCCGGCTATGAACCAATAACTTTGGTTAACAGAGTCTTTACCCCACAATTTTCCGCCAATAATCCAAGGATCACCATAAGTTATTATCTCTTATCCATGGACTTATAATGATGCATGCTTTAACAGAATAGCCGGACGAATAGAAGTGAAGTTTGGTTACAAGGATTCAAGGTCAGTTTAGTTTCGACATCGCGGGGTAACTCAGAACGAAACCCCAAACACGTCCCGCCCCCAAAGTGATCTGCAGATAATAGGACGTATATCTTAACGTGGTGTCTTGTTCAAGATGATGTCCAGGCAGTCTGTTGAGCTTAATGACAAAGCCGCTTTGGCCCCGGACAAAGACAATATGAAGTTAGTTAAACACCCGCGCCCTAGTTGTCCATTCTGGCATAATACCTCATGTCACTGAAGCTTACCAACTCGACAGACTCGACATCGCAAAGCTCACAGCTTTCCTGGTGGCCAATTCCACAGGCACCGGCGTTCTTATTTGCCCTGGCGGCGGCTATAGCCATGTCTCTATTGTCAAGGAAGGCTACAAACCGGCGGCATACCTCAATGAACTTGGTATCGATGCGTGGGTTCTCGATTATACCACGACCCTTAATGCCACTGCACCCATCTATCCCAAACCCGAGAATGAGGTCTTTGCTGCTCTCAAGAAGATACGCCACGAGAACCCCAAGATAGACAAGCTTGGTATTTGGGGCTTCTCAGCAGGCGGTCACCTTGCATCCACAACCCTCACCAACCCCAACGCTGGCCTGGATTTCGGCATTCTCGCGTATCCTGTTATTACCTTGGAAGGCAACTATACGCATGCCGGCTCTCGCGACAATCTCGTCGGGCCTAACGCGACAGCCGAGGAATTGCACGATTTATCAGCGCAGAACTTGGTCTCTGACACAACGCCTCCGACGTTTTTGTTCCATACCTTCGACGACCAAGCGGTTCCGGTGCAAAACACTCTCATGTTTGCTGAAGCCATGGCAGCTCATAAGAGAAAGGCTCAGGTTTTGATTCTACCAGATGGTCCCCACGGTCTCGGGTTGGCTCTTGATGACCCTGTACGCAGTTGGACATCCGAATTAACACGATTTCTGACATATTCGATCTAGAAGGGATAAGACAGAGACAATTAGTATTGCACGGAGGCCCGTGGTTATAGTAAACTCAGCTAAGATAAGAAACGTTCCTCCCAACACGTTCAATACTCATAGCTATCTATGCAAACAGTATACAATCTATGGTTATCATATCGTGAGATGTCAATCATTTAATTTGTCTTCTTTATAAATAAAAAATAGTTTGGCAAAGCTTACATCTATATTATTGCTGATCTGAAGAAATTGTTTTTCCTATATATATTGCAAATAAACTCTGATATTTCCTATCATATGGCTTTGATTAATCTGCTCTCTTCGCATCCAGGTTCTGCATATGTCTCTTGGTGGCCAAAATGTCAGCTGGTCAATAAAATTATCAACATCCGATGCATCCTTACATGAGCTGAACATCCTTGTAGCGCTTTGTACAATAGCGCGTTTCGGGTGAATATTTTCGCCTGCCACGGCGGCTGATTGGGCGAGATGTCGTTCTTGACCGCGAGAGCCCCGAAGCGAATTCAGTAGATCCAAAAGTGTCATCAATAGCTTCAACATTGACCAGCTCAGCGGCAGCCACGATGTATGGGGGAGACAGCACGTGACGCTATTTCATAACTCGTTGTCCTGTGGCGCTCTATTCCTTGTCTTTCTTCGTCGACTCCTCTTTGTCGGCTAGGGATCAAGTTCGCGAAGATGAAGTTCTTTGAAGTCCTGATGCATGTTATAACGGTATGTTAATCTACTAATGAATTCGTGCCATTAGCTAACGGAGCGCTTTTACAGCTGTTGCGCAGCCCAACAATAAGCAGCATACCTCTGACTGCAAGGCATTCCTTGTTACAACAATAACTCCCAAGAAGGCGTACGATATCCAAGCGCAGTCCGATGGCGCAAAAGCTGACAGGAGATACACAGCACCATTTACAAAACAACTACAATCACCAAGAAGACACCAACTGTCAGAAAGTCAATCACCGCTACTAGTACCTCGTCCGCCATCGCTACGAGCGTAAGCTCCGTCGTGCAAACCGTTACAGAGAACATCGTCGTGACGCGGACCGTGGAGCAAACCAAATTCGTAACCGAGCAGGCCACGGCGACAATCACGACCCAGGATGCCAATGTCAACCCGCCTTTCAAGCACAAACGCTCTGCACCTCGCATCCCAGAATACCTCGACAACATATGCACAAACTCCGCTCAATACTCATCGGCTTGCTCCCGCATCGGCGTCACTTCCAAGACAGTCAACGGCCCTCGGGTAACCGTCGTGTCTAAGATAATCCGCGTGAAAATCCCGCGTGCCAGCACCATCAGGACGACGGTCAGCACCACCTGGGTCACTCAGACGGTCAAGACCACTGTCGTCTTGAAGACCTACAGCACTGAGGAAGTCACCAAGACTATCGATGTCGTCACTGACGATGTCGCCATTGCTACCAAAACCGTCACTGAGACGACTACAAAGACCGAAATAGCTGAGCCGCTTCAGACTGTCAAGTTGTTTGCAGTTGGTAGCGATGACCCTGACCTCGCACTTTCAGGGTTTGGCTTTTCCTTCCTTGAGGCCTCCCAGGGCACCACATTCTACGTGGACTTCACTTCTGATTCCGGCAGCCTTCAGCAGTATAGCATACACAAGGGAACTGGCGAAGTGAAAGCACTCAACGGACCTGGTGGCGCAGTTGGCAAGTCGGCTTCATACAATTTCTATCCTGGAAGTGGAAACCCCTACGGTGCTGTCATGATTCAGGGCCAGGGTGCGCCGCCCTTGGTTTGCAAGGTCGTAGATGGAGCGACTTATAATTATCTACAATGCAAATTCGGAAACAGCCAGATCGCTGACTTTTGGACATGTAACGGGCGTTTGTTGTTGGTCGCCCCAGGGTATGACTTGTCAAGCTGTGTTATGGATGGCAATTCGTACACCGGTTATCCCATTCCTCTTATCCGAGTAACAAGCAATTAAGATATCATACATATAAGCTTTCACTTCTTCATAATCGTTACTTGAACCGGGCCATGTTATACATTTGTGTGTTTCCTCATGTATATGGGCTCAAATGCCGGAAAGCTACCAAAATTGCTGTATACTAGAGACACAATACTCTGTTGAGGTTGCTCGCTTTCCTTTTAATGATTTCAGATTTAGGCTTCTACTTAAAGGCCGGATTAAATATCCATCAAGACGGCTCTGACGTCTCAACTCTCATTGAGATGCGATAGCCATTGGCCCACTTTTTTAGTACGCAAGAGAATAAAGAGATACACAAATACGATAAAAAGTATTAGAGTAATTTCGCATGTTAAATAAAAAATACCTAAATACATTGAAATGAAGTCTTCAAAACTGCACGCCATCGCGTAGCTGTCGCTGCACCATCAACCTCATCCAACGTCTTGCACAATCTGCCCTCCCCACCATCTGGGAACACATAAATACCCCCTAGAGATTCAATATCATCTGACCACTGGAACGGAGTCCATGGCATCTTTCCATAGCAAAATTCAAGCCACGCAGCTCGGATCTGGCCGACAGTAGATACCCAATTCTCAAGGTGTTCTGCCGGGACCTGATCTTCCGCTGGGTTGAAGAGGAAAATGTCATTGATGCCATGGTTGGCTCTCTTGTAGCCCAATGACCAGTTCTTGAATGGATTCGTAGCTTGGATCTCGTAGAGAAGCACGTGTGAAGCATTGCCGTGCGTGATCTGATGCTTCTTGATGACCGCTGCTGAGTATATCGGTGGGGTACGGAATGCCACGTCCGCCATCAGGCCTGCCACGTCCTCAAAAGAGTCTACGCAAGACTTTTCTCGGCTCAGATTATACGCTTTGGCAATTTCAGGGACGCAGAAAGGGCTGTCGTCAGAGTTCAGTTGGGGAGTCATGGCACTACCCGCAAGTACCTCCTGCGCGATAGGGAGTATCTCTGCCTCTGGTCGAGGCGGAGGCGGCAGAGGCTTTGACAGATCCGACAGTAACATCAATGTAAGATCTCGCTCATACTCTGTTGCACCAATCATCAAGTTCGGTAGGGTTTCGCCAGCCTTGCCCAACTTTTCCAAGGTCGGTTTGAGACCTGCCTCGGGAACCCATTCACCATCAACGAGTGGGCTGTAGAGCGACGGCGGCGATGCTGGCAAGAGCTGGTCAAGAGGAAGATCTACCAATGAATCAAGTAGAGAATCATCCGCTTGCAGGCTTGGTATTTGAGATAGCACATAGTCGAAGCGCTCCTGATGCCATGGCATAGGCCGCGATGCGATACCGACAGATGTGCCACTGGACAGAATGGCACTCTGGAACTTGCGATTGGGAAAGTTGACCTGGTAATGACACGAGGCACCGCCCGCGCTCGTTCCGTGAATAGTGATGCGATCAGAAGCACCTCCGAACCCGGCAATGAAACGAGAGACCCATTCCAGCGCCTGTCGTTGGTCATGAAGTCCGTAGTTGCCGACTGCCTCCCCATGAGCGTGACTCCTCTCCGCCAGCTTTTCCGAAGTGAGGAATCCCAGAAGTCCCACGCGGTAGTTGATGGTGACTACCACGACCGGCTGATCCCGAGCAAGACTCGCCCTTACCAGGTCGGTAGCATCGTAGATTTCGCGTCCAGATAGTTGAATTGACTGACTGCCGCCCATGAAAGCGCCGCCATGGATGAAGACCAGTACAGGCACGTTCTGGCCTGCTTCAAGAGCCTTTCGTGGTGCGGTGATGGAGAGGTTCAGGCAGTTGAACTCATCTTGGATGGGCTTTTCTAGAGCAGGGTACCCAGTAGGAGGTGGCGCCGTCCAGTACAGAGGAAATGGTAGGACCAATTGGGGACATTCAGGGCTGGAAGATATTGGTAAGTCGGTCCATGTATGGGGGATTGGCTCTGCACACTTACCCTGGTTGGCGAGCAGTGAATGGCTGCGAAGGCAATGGCCCAGCTCTCAAGATGCTCTGGCGAAAACGACCAGGAATAGACGCGAAAGGGATACCGCGAAACTGAACAACATCATCGTCTCTGGCTAAGCCGATGATGCTGCCCAGCTCTTGGTGGTTCAGGGTATAGTCTGAAACTGTCATGTTTGTTTTTAACACAGGTAAACAATCAGGTGGTTGCAGGCAATAACAGATATACAATTTGTCTTTGATGAGCTGAAATACCCGTTTTCAGGCTTGCCAAGAGGGAATTAGCCGCTTGAACTTGGTGGTTAAGTTTCGTCTTATACAGGTTGCAACCAAAGTTAGTGGCGCCGTACTTGGCCATTTTGGGAATATCCCCGTCTCCCTCGGCTGCGCATCGCGGCAACCCTTCCTTTCCCCTCACATGACCCGGCCTCGCGGGTTTTGGCCCAAAGAGTGATAGAGCATCCAATAGCACACTTAGCGCGGGGGATCTGTAGGTACGACATTGCAAAATGAAAGGCGTGAAGTCTCTGTCGTATCGTTTGATCGCGTCCAGTCTCCCCATTCCCCAGATTTCGGCCCCAGAAAACTTGCCCCAGCGTCTCTCTCCGCTTTCTCCAAGCTACAGGACCTCCATGTTTTCGTACCGGACCGAGAGTTCTGGAGCTGGGGTATGTATATAACTTCTCGTCGAGCCCATCGGTTAGACCCCATTATCTTGGAATTGGCATCCAGACATTCAGACTCTCATCTGCTGAGGTCAATTGAATCGATATCGGTCAACTTATACTTCTCCTTCTTATTTCCCTCTTTCAATTCTTCTAATCGGCACTCACCTCCATCTTCGCCATGGCTACCGACCTTGATCATGCCTCGCCGCGAACCAATTCGTTGGCAAACTTCTTCCGAAGTCCAAAGTTGGTCTACTCCAGTGAGTTCTCTCTTTCATCATCGTCTCAAGGCAGATCGTAACTAACATTAACACTCAGCCTTCCTCATGGCAATGGCCTTCTTTACCTTTGGCTATGACGGTGCCATCAGCGGCGGTATCCTAGCCATGGTCCCTTTCGTCAACCAAATGTCTCACACCCATCTTCCCAATGGCACCCCATACCTGACCTCAACCGATATCTCCATCATGACAGCTCTCCCCGTCACTGGCTGTGTTCTCGGACTGCCCCTCGCAGCCCAGTTCGCTGATAGATATGGCCGTAAGAAGATGATCCTTGTAGGCTGCATCTTTAGTGCTGTTGGAAGCGCCATCCAGACTGCAGCCTTTGGGCTCGCGGAGATAGTCGTCGGTCGTTGGATTGCGAGTAAGTCTTGACCAATCACCTCTAGCTCGTCCGTGTTTACTAACGTTCTTTCTCAGATGTTGCCATCTGGCTCTTCATTGTGCTTGGCTCAACCTACATGGCCGAGATTGCACCCGAAAACGTCCGTGGCGCCATTGTTGGAACATCCATCGTTCTCATCAACACAGCTGCCATTGTCGCTAGCGGCGTCAACTGGGCCATGAGTACAGAAATGTCCGCCATGTCATTCCGTCTCCCCCTTGGGCTAGGCATACTTTTCCCTCTTATCCTCTTCGTTGGGCTCTTCTTTGTCGATGATTCACCAACCTGGTACCTCACCAAGTCTCGTGACAGCGACGCCCTCAGGTCTCTCAGGAGCGTCCGCAGTGGCTACCCAGAGGCTGAGATTTTGGCTGAGTTCGAGGCTCTCAAGGCCCAAGCGTCTATTCGTGAGGATGAGGCCAAGGTTCCGTGGATTGATATCTTTCGTGGAACAAATCTCCGTCGATCTATGTTGGCCATGTCCATCGGAAACATGCAGCAACTCTCAGGCATTGCTTTCGCTACAAACTACGCTACCATCTTCCTCGCTACAGTCAGTGGCAACGTGTCTCCTTTCCTTCTCACCATGGTCGGTGCTATCCTCGCTTTCGCCGGCGCAGTCACCGGGATCTACCTTGTCGACAGAGTCGGACGCCGAACCCTCGCCCTTACCACCTTCACCATGGTCTTCTTTATTGATCTCGTGGTCGGAGTCCTTGGTTTCATGGACTACACAGGAAATACTAGCATCGCCAAGGCCATCGCGAGCATGTGCATGCTCTTTTCGTTCTTCTTCGCAGCTGGATTCGGCCCTCTGACTTATGTCGTCTCTGCTGAAATTCCGACTGCCCGTCTACGCAACAAGACCAGCTCTTTCTCTTTCTTGACCCTAGCTGCTTTTTCCACTGTTGTAATCTACGTACTGCCATATATCTCTCAGCCCGATGCGTAAGTACATTTCACTGTTTCTTACCTACCCGCATGCTAACAAGATTGTCATTGCAGAGGTAATCTTGGTCCGAAGACATACCTCGTCTTTGCTGGTTGGATGGCCGGGTGCATCCTTATCACATACCTGTACCTTCCCGAGACCAAGGGAAGAACCCCTGCTGAGCTGGATGCCATGTTTGAAGCCCGTGTTCCTGCTCGCAAGTTCAAAGGCAAGGAGCAAGACCCGTTTGTCAGTGCATTGCTAATATTTCACGTTTCAGACTATCAGTGCAATCTGTCTATGGAGAGTTACATGAATGAGGAGAAGATCGATACCGAGGTCGCCCACCACGAAGCTAAAGTTTAAACTGAAGGACTAGGATCTAAGTCAGCTTGACATTGATAGTGAGGAGTTAGTTGGGAGTATAAGCCCAGACCAACGATATTCTTAATATCCAGTAGGGTAAACCCATATTCAAAGAGTAGTTCTTTAATTGCACATCCTCTCTGTATCTCAGTTTCTTGTGATACAACGTTATTCCCCTCTCATTTCAAACTCACTACTAAAGTGTTGCCGCTTGGTGCTTGTGCTTGCTGCCTCTTGGGACTTCTATTCATGATCCGCACTCTGCCTAAGCGATGCAGTGATTGTTAGTTAAATTCTGTGACATCTCTGTGCAGACCTAAGTGTTGTTTTATTGGACTTTGGTGCATCTTAGACTTGACGTTTGTCTTGCATGTCTTACCTTGCCTATGCTACTCACTCAACTGACATTCTATAACAAGGGCACCCAAACCAAGGTCTACTACAGTCAGTGACACAATCTAGGAGAGAAAGGTGCTTAAGGAGTGTATCTCGTAGGATGAAAGACTTAGGTAGCTTAATAATAACATTAGCAGATCTGAGGCTAGTTATCTGTCCCCAGGATATCAGGCCTCGGATTCCTTTTATTTCTATAAGATCGCTGATTGGGTTTTGCTTTAATTTATCACTAAGGCATCCTAGATAGAAACCCATCCCACTAAAGAAAAGGCAAAGAACTCTCCCAACAATTCTAAAACAGTCTTACATATCGTTCCCATCTACGTACCCCTTTGTGCCTCTGTCTAGTTATCTAACCCTCGTAACACGAGGTCTTTAGCTCCCATGCTGTACATTCCAGCGACTGACCCGACCACGGGCGCTCACTCTTCTTTACCACAAACGGCTGAATGTTATAGCAGGTCATACTTTCCGGGTAGACTCGTGTAGTAATTGCCGTTCTTTCGTTGGCGAAAAGCTCTAGACAACTCACATCAAAGAATGCATTGAGTCGTAAGGGCTCCTGTGACAAAAGCGACTCAGCTCGTGCACCAGTTCCGGGAGACAATGTCGAAAAGAGGGTATGTGGTGCCTCTTCATCCGCTACGCATACGCCTGTCATGTTGGTGGATTTATCTCGTGTAATTTTGAGCATCTCCAAGTCAGGACTAAACGAGACAACGGTACGTAGTTCTGAATCTTGAGAAGGAATGTTAGCATTCTCTGGCAACGATTTGTAATTCTATCAGTAACATTACCTTTTGTATGGCCTATTATGAAGCCGATACTCTGTACATCATTGCCAATATCGAAAGATACGTCCAGCTCCCAACAGGAGCATCCGAGAGGGAATTCTAAGCTTCCCAGAGCCTCTGGTAAGGTGTGATAGGTGATGGGACCCAGGAAATGCTGACTTTGACGAAGTTTGTTGAGCCTAGGGTCTGGTAAGGCACACAATGTTGTGATCGTATAGGCCTGAGGAGAAGTGGTCGGGAATAGTAACGCCTGCTGCGACATATCTTCTGGCACCACGTCAAACGACTTGATTGATGTCAGATCTGACTTTAATGCATGGACAACATGATGTGTTCTGCTCATGCGGACAACTCTCGGGACCGATAACAGTCCGGCCCATCCTTGTGCCCTCTTGAGCTCTGCAGAGAGATCTTCCTCAACAATCCAGCCAAAAGCAACTTGCTGGTTGGATTTTGGATCGTGGAAGGAGTTGACAGCATAGATTGCTCCGTAGTCCAGAACACCGCCCGAACGGAGCTGCATCTGTATCCCTGTTGAAGTCTGCGCCAAAGGGCCCGAAGCCCACATCTGGCCATGGTCCTTTCTGAACTCTGAATGGCAATGCCGCCCAGAAGGCTCAGTGTCAAGTTGCTTACGCCCCTCAACGCCGATTATCAGCACCTCATGACTTATTGCTGGATCATCAGGATCAGGGAGTGAAAGGAAGTTGGCCACCTCCCAATTTGTACCATAGTCGGGCTCCCATTTCGAAGGATGTTGCCTTTGAGGGGTTGATGTGATAGACAGCACAGAGAGGAAGTTCCAGGCCGCCAAATCGTACTGTTCAAGAGAGTAGACAAATATTGCAGGGCCAATACCGCGAATGCCACCAGAAACGATGCCAAACAGCGATTTATTTGACCCATGTCCTAGAAGCCGGCTGAGCGAAGGCCACTTAGCAACGTATGGATCACGCCAGCCTGTAACATCGAGATGGCGAGGAGGGCCATCCAGAACAGTCGATACATCTCCCCTTTGCCATGTACGACCAGAATCATATGACGTGGCGATGCAAATTGCTTCAGAACCCCAGTTGTAGGGAAGAGCATGGTGTATCGGAAGCATCCGCGCTGAGGTGTAGAATGCAGTGCTTCGTCCGGGTGCAGAGGGAACTGGACTCCAACATCCTGTAAAGACCCCCTCTTCTCCATCATACTTCTTCGATGGTCGAATAGATGGACTACCACTGACCTCCCAGGTTATCAGGTCCTTTGAAAATGCACTTCCCCATGAAATGTCGCCCCATTCTGGCTTTTTGGGGTTCCATTGGAACCCAACGTGATAGACTTCATGAACGGCGTCATAGCCTGGTG